CGATATATTCCTTCAGGGCCCCCAATTCAAGCTCAGATAGGGGGAAAATACGCCCAAAAGGGATTTCAGAGCCTGGTAACAGGTCGATAGGACAGTCATACGGGCGGTGGGGGGGCAGAGTGTCGGCTCCCCGCTTACTGAACACATCCAGGAACCCATGATAGGCTGCGGGAATAACCTGTTTCAAGTCGGAGTCTCCTTCGGAGCAAAGGAGAACTCGGGGCCCCACGGGGCCCGAAGTGCGACAATGTTCCCGACAGTATGGGGAAGGGAACGAGATTGACCCGGTCTCCCAGTCAATCTGGGGGTTATGGGCCCGTAACCATGGGAGCCCCAGAATGACTGGGAAAAGAGGTGATGCAATAGCGTCCAGGCGGAGGAACTCCTGGTGCTGGTTGGCAATGATAGTGGCAATGGGGGGAGTTTCCTGATTAACCACCCCCGATTTTATCTGGGAACCATCAGCCAAAAGATGTTGAAGCCCTTCTGTCTGTGTTGGAGAGGGATACCCTGCTGGTGAGCAAACTCTAGATCCAGGAAACAGCTGCATGCCCCCGAATCAACTATGGCTGTCACCTCCACGATCTTTCCTGGAAGCTGAAAGGAGAGGGGCACTACTAAGTATTGCGAAGGACAGGTATTGCTAATAGACAAGGAAGAAAAACGGGTGCACTTACTCATTTTTATGAGGGCAGGATCGCACCATATGACCAGCTTCACCGCAGTAAAGGCAGATGTTCTGGGCTCGTCTGCGCTGGCGTTCCTCCGGTGATAATTTAGGCCGTGCCAGACCTAGCTGCATAGGTTCCGGAACATCTCCTGGAGGTGGGTTCTGGATGCTTTGTCGGGTTGGTGGGCTGGGGCCTAGGAATGGACCCCAGGTATTTCCGTGACCCTGGCTGGACCTCTCAAGCCTGCGTTCCCGCAGTCTTCGGTCAATCTTAATTGTCAAGGCAATAAGGTCTTCTAGAGACTCGGGAACCTCCACCCGGGCCAGCTCATCTTTCAAGGGATCGGAGAGTCCCATACGGAACTGGTGCAATAGAGCGAACTCATTCCAGCGTGTGTCCCCCATCCACCGCCTGAAATCAGAGGCGTATTCCTCTGCCGCCCGCCGGCCCTGTCGGAGCGCATATAAGGTCGCGCTTCGGCAGAGGCTGCCCGCTGTGGGTCATCATACAAGATGGCCATTGCTTCAAAGAAACTATTGACCGATCCCAGGTGAGGATCATTGTTTCCCCTTAGCCGGTGGGCCCAATCCTGGGGTTCCCCCTGTAGGAGTGAAATAATGAAATCCTACCTTCACGTTTTCGGTCAGGAAGGTACGGGGTTGTAGCTCAAAGAACAAGAGACAGGAGTCGCGGAATGACCGAAAGCGTGTGCGGTCCCCGTGAAAACGCTCCGGTAGGGGTACTCGGGGTTCTACCATAGGGAGCGGGGCGGAAGCCCCTGAGACTGGCTCCTGAGCTACCAGGGCCGGGGGTGCAGTAACCGGGGCCTGTGGGGCAGGATCAGAAATAGAGCCAGTCTGGATGCGATTCTCCAGCTGCATGCATCTGTCCTGCAGGACCGTTACGGCCTGCGTCAAATTAGCTAGGTGCCTGCAAATTTCCTCTAACGGGGAGGGCCCTCCTCTAGGCTCAGTCATGGCCTTTTGGTACTGTAAGGGACCGCCCGGCGGTACCACTAGCACTCCACTGGTCGGATGTTCCCAGCGCACGGAGTCTAAGCCCCAGGGTACTTGTTCACCAGGGCCCCTGATGGTGGGGATGGACTTGGAGCACCCTAGGACCAGGTCGTGACTACTGAGGACACCCGTCAGTGGTAGGGGTATTCGCCAGGGGCTCCCACGGGATAGAGCCAGGTATGAGGAGGTCTGGAGACCCCGTAGAGAGGGACGGATGGATGGATGGATGGATGGCTGAGCAGGAGCAGGGTCATACAAGCCGGGTCGGTAACTATGGGGACGGTGCGGTACAGAGCAGCGGGCAGAGAATAGTCGGGTCACACGCCAGGTCAGCAACAGCAGGTCAGATCCAATAGGGGGCATTCAGGAGAGAGGTCAGGCAAGCAAGGGTCAAAACAGGAGAAAACAGCAAGGTCAGGGCACAATCCGGGTCAGCAACTTACTTCAGACAGGTTCACAGGTTCACAGGATACAAAAGACCAAAAGGCACTGAATGACAGCTCAGGGCCGTTTAAATATCCCGCCCTGCGCTGTCATTGGTGCCAGGCGCGCGCCCGCGGTCAGCACTGCGCATGCGCGAACCTGATTGCCGCGGTCGGCCAAGTCCCGGCGCTCGCGTACAGGGAGGTGTACTGCGCCTGCGCCGGGACCAGCGGCGCGGCGATCTCCGACAGGTAGCAAGCAGCGTAGTACAGAGGGTCAGGCAGAGGGATGGTCAGGGTCACAAGCCAGGGATCAGAACAGGTAGCAAAGGAACAGAAACAGGATGCAGGACAGATACAGGGCCCAGGACAAACACAACACCAAGGCAGAGTCTGCAAGTCTGGCCATCCCTTAAATACACCAGTATCATCAGTTCCAGGTGTTAGCTGGCTGAAAGGTTGAGTCTCTGATTGCTGGGAGCACCCCTGGCCAGCCCTGGTACTGCAGATCAAAAGGCAGGTGAGTCCCACCATTGCTGGCCAGTCCATTCCTGACAGTACCCCCCCTCAAGGAGCGGCCTCAGGACGCTCCAAACAGTCCTAGCTGGGAAAAATGTTCCACCGCCCGGGTCTGGTAACTGGCGGGATATCAAAGACTGGCACACCGGGCAGGACTCCGGGCAGCGGTACACCGGGCAGAGGCACATCGGGCTGGACTTCGGGCAGAGGCACATCGGGCTGGACTCCGGGCAGAGGCACATCGGGCTGGACTCCGGGCAGAGCACACCGGGCAGAGCCACACCGGGCAGAGGCACATCGGGCTGGACTCCGGGCAGAGGCACATCGGGCTGGACTCCGGGCAGAGGCACATCGGGCTGGACTCCGGGCAGAGGCACATCGGGCTGGACTCCGGGCAGAGGCACATCGGGCTGGACTCTGGGCAGAGGCACATCGGGCTGGACTCCGGGCAGAGGCACATCGGGCTGGACTCCGGGCAGAGGCACACCGGGCAGAGCCACACCGGGCAGAGGCACATCGGGCTGGACTCTGGGCAGAGGCACATCGGGCTGGACTCCGGGCAGAGGCACATCGGGCTGGACTCCGGGCAGAGGCACACCGGGCAGAGCCACACCGGGCAGAGGCACATCGGGCTGGACTCCGGGCAGAGGCACATCGGGCTGGACTCCGGGCAGAGGCAGGCACATCGGGCTGGACTCCGGGCAGAGGCACATCGGGCTGGACTCCGGGCAGAGGCACACCGGGCAGAGCCACACCGGGCAGAGGCACATCGGGCTGGACTCCGGGCAGAGGCACATCGGGCTGGACTCCGGGCAGAGGCACATCGGGCTGGACTCCGGGCAGAGGCACATCGGGCTGGACTCCGGGCAGAGGCACATCGGGCTGGACTCTGGGCAGAGGCACATCGGGCTGGACTCCGGGCAGAGGCACATCGGGCTGGACTCCGGGCAGAGGCACACCGGGCAGAGCCACACCGGGCAGGCACATCGGGCTGGACTCCGGGCAGAGGCACCAGGCGGGCATCGGGCTGGACTCCGGGCAGAGGCACATCGGGCTGGACTCTGGGCAGAGGCACATCGGGCTGGACTCCGGGCAGAGGCACATCGGGCTGGACTCCGGGCAGAGGCACATCGGGCTGGACTCCGGGCAGAGGCACATCGGGCTGGACTCCGGGCAGAGGCACATCGGGCTGGACTCCGGGCAGAGGCACATCGGGCTGGACTCCGGGCAGAGGCACATCGGGTTGGACTCCGGCAGAGGCAGAGGCACATCGGGCACACCGGGCAGAGGCACATCGGGGCAGGCATTCCGGGCAGCACAGGCACACCGGGCAGAGGCACATCGGGCTGGACTCCGGGCAGAGGCACATCGGGCAGGACTCCGGGCAGAGGCACATCGGGCAGGACTCCGGGCAGAGGCACATCGGGCAGGGGACCCCGGGCAGAGGCACATCGGGCAGGACCCGGGGGCAGAGGCACATCGGGCTACCAGGCGAAGCAGCAGGCAGCGGGCCACGGGCGGAGCGGCAGGCACCGGGCCCCCGGGCGGAGCGGCAGGCACCGGGCCCCCAGGCGGGGCGTCAGGCCTCGGGCCCCCGGGCGGGGCGACAGGCCTCGGGCCCCCGGGCGGGGCGACAGGCATCGGGCCCCCAGGCGGGGCGCAGGCATCGGGCCCCCAGGCGGAACTACAGGTCTCAGGCCCTCAGGCGGAGCGAGCGGGTGCCAGACCCCCAGATGGAGCGACAGGCCTCGGGCCCCCAGGCGGGGCGACACGGCATCGGACCCCCAGGCGGGGCGACAGGCATCGGCCCCCAGGCGGGGCGACAGGCATCGGGCCCCCAGGCAGGCGGGGCGACAGGCATCGGGGCCCCAGGGGGGCGGCGGGCGCCGGACCCCCAGGCGGAACTACAGGCCTCGGGCCCCAGGCAAAAGCGGCGGGGCGCCGGACCCCCAGGGTGGAGCGACAGGTCTCGTGCCCTCAGGCGGGCGGCGGCGGGCGCTGGACCCCCCCAGGTGGAGCGACAGGCATCGGGCCCCCAGACGGGGCGACAGGCATCGGGGGCCCCCAGGCGGGGCGACAGGCATCGGGCCCCCAGGCGGAGCGGCGGGCGCCGGACCCCCAGGCGGAACTACAGGTCTCGGGCCCTCAGGCGGAGCGGCGGGCGCCGGACCCCCGGGTGGAGCGACAGGTCTCGGGCCCTCAGGCGGAGCGGCGCGGCGCCGGACCCCCAGGTGGAGCGACAGGTCTCGGGCCCCCAGGCGGAGCGACAGGTCTCTCGGGCCCTCAGGCGGAGCGGCGGGCGGCCGGACCCCCAGGTGGAGCGACAGGTCTCGGGCCCTCAGGCGGAGCGGCGGGGGCGCCGGACCCCCAGGTGGAGCGACAGGTCTCGGGCCCTCAGGCGGAGTGGCGGGCGCCGGACCCCCAGGTGGAGGAGCGACAGGTCTCGGGCCCTCAGGCGGAGCGGCGGGCGCCGGACCCCCAGGCGGTGCGACAGGTCTCGGGCCCTCAGGCGGAGCGACAGGTCTCGGGCCCCCAGGCGGGGGGCGGCGGGCGCCGGACCCCCAGGTGGAGCGGCGGGCGCTGGACCCCAAGGCGGAGCGACAGGTCTCGGGCCCCCAGGCGGAGCAGCGGGCACCGAGTCACCAGGCACGACAGTGGGCTCCGAGTCAACTGGCATGACCGCTGGCACTAGGTCAGACATTGGATCGTCTGGCTGGACAGCGGGCATCGGGTCACCAGGCATCAGGTCATTTGGCTCGACAGCGGGCACCGTGTCATCTGGCAAGGCAGTGGGCTCCGAGTCAACTGGTATGACCGCGGGCACTGGGTCAGACATTGGATCGTCTGACCGGACAGCGGGCATCGGGTCACCAGGCATCAGGTCATTTGGCTCGACAGCGGGCGCCGCGTCATCTGGCAAGGCAGTGGGCTCCGAGTCAACAGGCACGACAGTGGGCACCGGGTCATCAGGTACCGGATTGTCTGGCTCGACAGCAGGCATCGGGTCACCAGGTATGACAGCGGGCACTGGGTCACCAGGCATCAGGTCATTTGGCTTGCCAGCGGGCACTGCGTCATCTGGCAAGGCAGTGGGCACCGGGTCACCAGGCATTGGATCGTCTGGCTCAACAGCGGGCATCGGGTCACCAGGTATGACAGCGGGCACTGGGTCACCAGGTATCAGGTCATTTGGCTCGCCAGCGGGCACCGCGTCATCTGGCAAGGCAGTGGGCACAGTACGACGAGGCTCTGGTCAGGCGGTACGACAGCGGGCTCTGAGTCAATTGGCACGACAGCGGGCACCGGATCAGGTACCGGATCATCTGGATCAACAGCGGGCATCGAGTCAACTGGCCTAATAGGATCGTCAGGCTGGATCAGTTCATCATGCTGGGTAGAGGCATCAGGCTGAATGCGGCGAGTAGAGGCTTCAGGCTGAGTAGAGGCTTCAGGCCGAGAGTAGAGGCATCAGGCCGAGTAGAGGCATCAGCCGAGTAGAGGCTTCAGGCCGAGTAGAGGCATCAGGCCGAGTAGAGGCATCAGGCCGAGTAGAGGCATCAGGCCGAGTAGAGAGGCTTCAGGCCGAGTAGAGGCTTCAGGCCGAGTAGAGGCATCAGGCCGAGTAGAGGCATCAGGCCGAGTAGAGGCATCAGGCCGAAGAGAGGCATCAGGCTGCATACAGGCATCAGGCTGAAGAGAGGCATCAGGCTGCGTACAGGCATCAGGCCGAGTACAGGCATCAGGCTGAGTAGAGGCTTCAGGCTGAGTAGAGGCTTCAGGCTGAGTAGAGGCTTCAGGCTGAGTAGAGGCTTCAGGCTGAACCACGGAAGGCAGGCTCACCGGTTTGGATACTGGCAGGATGGTATTGGTTGGAAAGAATTTTCGCTTTTTTCTGGTTTTAACTACTGGAGCACTGCAAGTAAACGCAGGTCTGCAAACGAATGGAGCAGCTGGAGACAGAGAAAAACTGGAGGATGGAACAGGAGAGGGAGCAGTTGCTACAGAGGGCTTTTTTACAGGGTTAAAGGCAGGATAGGTGCAGCGAGTGGGAACAGGGTACTGACATGCGGTAGATAGCCAAGTATACTGGGCTGTAACTGGAGGAGCTGTTGGGAATACAGGAGTAGAGTTAGAAGCAGGACTGGGTTTTTGTAAGCTGACTGAGGCTGGGTGCAACAAGTCTGTCCATGTCTGCAGTATGGGTTGAACAAAGCTGAGCTTACACAAAGCCTGTCTGACCAATGACTGCACTGCGTTTATACAATCTCTTAGTGTCTGTGGTGAACATGTGGAATAACGCTCCAGAAAGTAACCCACATCATCCTCTAATAACCACACCAGGGACTCTACCTGGTCTGCACTAAATGGTGGCAAAAATTCATCCCTGCATTCGGGGGGTACCAGATGAAACCAACTCTGCACAAACCTCAATCAAAGGCTGCACCTCAGAGAACTCTGTGCCCTGATCTACTAGAACATGAGCGAGCCGTATACATTCTAGCAGTTCATCCCGGGTATACTCCTTCAGAGTTTGATAAGCATACTCCCTGTCATCAAACACTAGCAGATATAAATACGCAACCTCATCCAGATCCATCCTTCCCATCAACAAGCCAAGATGGCTTCCCTGTGCAGCCACTTCTGGTCAGGATTGGCCTTGGTGTAATGTCAGGGCTCCCAGGTATGACCAGAGGTGTGTGACTGATGCAGGGAAACGCAGACTTCAGATATGTTGATTAACAATGTAATTTATTAACACTAACAATACAAACATAAACGCAGTGCAATACTAAACATAATACAGTGCAAACAAACCCAACCAACCACCCACAGATAACAGTACATACAAGCAAGCGTCGTCAGGCAGGCCGAGTCAATATCAATTGGGCAGGTAGGTACAGGGGGAGCAAGCGGAGAATGGTCGGGGTCACAGGCCAGGTTCAGCAGGTAGCAAGCAGCGTAGTACAGAGGGTCAGGCAGAGGGATGGTCAGGGTCACAAGCCAGGGATCAGAACAGGTAGCAAGCAGCGTAGTACAGAGGGTCAGGCAGAGGGATGGTCAGGGTCACAAGCCAGGGATCAGAACAGGTAGCAAAGGAACAGAAACAGGATGCAGGACAGATACAGGCCCAGGACAAACACAACACCAAGGCAGAGTCTGCAAGTCTGGCCATCCCTTAAATACACCAGTATCATCAGTTCCAGGTGTTAGCTGGCTGAAAGGTTGAGTCTCTGATTGCTGGGAGCACCCGCTGGCCAGCCCTGGTACTGCAGATCAAAAGGCAGGTGAGTCCCACCATTGCTGGCCAGTCCATTCCTGACACAGCTCCCCCAAAATGGTGCCAAATATGGCAGTGAGGGGGGGGGGGGGCAAACAAGTGGAGCTTCCACTTTTGGGTGGAATTCCGCTTTAGGGATAGGAAGTGTTGCTGAAAAAGTGCATAGGGACAGATTAGTGTAGGCTTTGGTCTCCTAAAGTAGACGTAAACCCTTGCTGAATGTCCTTTAGATAGCAAAATGCTGTGTATCTTGGGGAATTTGGGGATGAGAAAGAGTTTTTCATCTTAATGCTGCTGATATGTGTTCTGCAGCTTAACAGCCTCTAAAAAGTTCTAACGGACTACTTGTATTTTTCTTTCACAGGTTACATTTCCTATTTTTGCTGTCTGCAATTCATTTTTTCACCACAGTCTGCCCCTGTCCCACATGCACTAGAGTCATAGTGGGCTGCATGTCTTGTTTTTTTTTTTTTTTTACAGGGCATTATTTTCTTTTTATTCTAGTTGCAACTGATTTTCTTTTTCATAGGCTGCTCCTATCAACTTTCACTACAGTCATTTCAGACTGCATGTGTTTTTTTTCACAAGGCATAGTTTCTATTTTATGTTGGCTGCAATTAATTTATCACAGCCTGTCTCTGTCCACATGCTATGCAGTCATATCAGGTTGCAAATGATTTTTCACAGAGCATATTTCCTAATATTTGCTGGGTGCAATTGATTTTTTTCACAGCCTGGCCCTGTTGACATGCACTATAGTCATTTCAGATTGTGTGTTTTTTTCACAAACATATTTCATATATCTTGGTAGCTGCAATTGCTTTTTACAGCTTGTCTCTGTCCACAATCACTGCAATCATATCAGGCTAAATTGGATTTTTATCACAGGGCATATTTCTCATTTTTGTTGACTGCGAATGATTCTTTTTTTCACAGCCTGTCCCTGTCCATATGCACTACACTCATATCGGGCAGCATGTTTTTTTCACAGGGCATAATTTGCATTTTTTGCTTGCTGCAATTGATTTGTTCACAGCCTGTCCTATCCAAATGCACTGCAGTCAAAGCAGGCTGCAAATGTTTTTCTGTAGAGAAAACAAAAACAAAAACAAAGGGTGATTTATAGGTATGAAATTGTGGGGAACAGGGACAGAGCATTATCACAATACAAAGTGCCCAATCATGGACCTTTATACTAGTATCACAAGCTGTTGAAACAAGAGGCTGCAAAGACCTTGTGCATTACCTTACCTACACTTAATAATACTGAAGAAAAGCCAAATACATTATGCTCTGATGAAAATAATTTGTCCCTCAAAACACATTAGCTTGCTAGTTGGAGTGATGTTCTAGTTTCTGGTGATACTTACCCACAGCCTGACCACCCTACCATATGGTTTTTGTAAATATCTTTTTTATGCTTGTGGCTTTGTGGGTATGTATTTGGCTTTTCTTCAATATTAAAACATTTATGTAATGTAATGCCTTTGCGTCCTCTTGTTTGTGTTTGGCATTTTATATCAGGATTCCCTGATCTTAAGAGAGATGCACTGGTGGAGCTTATTAGCCTTGGATGAAAATGAATATTGGGATGTTCCTGAATTAATGATATCTTGGTTCCCACAACACCTTAGCACTACAAGGGCCATGCCTGTTTACTTATTAGTTTCACCAGCTGTTCAAGTGTGCATGAGATTTTAGAAATTGGGTTTACATTTACTAACTAATGCTCAAACTATGCTTGTGTTTATTGCTGTATTCTTTGTTGTATCTTTATTCTTCTTGACCAGCATTTGGTTTGCACACTATCAAAGATCACGTTTTTACTAACTCCATATTGTTTCAGACCCTTTCCTCTAACATCCTGATTAAGAAGGTCTAGTATGATTCTGTCTGAGCTTCATAAACGGCTGTAATTTTTTAACATTATCATGAACGCTGCTGCCAGACTCATCCACCTCACTAACCGTTCTGTATCCGCCACCCCTCTCTGCCAATCCGTCCACTGGCTCCCAGTTGCCCAACGGATAAAATTCAAAACACTAACAATGACATATAAAGCCATCCACAACACTGCTTCAATTTACATAACCGATCTTAAATATCACCCAAACCGTACTCTCTGCTTCTCGCAAGACCTCTTACTCTCTAGCTCCCTTATCTCCTCCTCCGATGCTCATCCCCAAGACTTCTCCAGGGCGTCACCCATCGTCTGAAACTCCCTACCCCAATCTATCAGACTATCACCTACTCTACTTGCCTTTAGGTGTTCACTGAAAACCTATCTCTTCAGGGAAGCCTATTCTGCCCTCTGCTAATTCTGGAATCCTCCACTCTTCCAACCACTCCATCCCCCACAGTTACTACCTACTGTATCATTCATTCACCTCTCCCTCCTAGATTGTAAGCTCCAAGGAGCGGGGCCCTCAAATCCCTCTTGTATTGAACTGTATTGTTACTGTATTGTCTCGCACTATAATGTAAAGAGCTGAGCAAACCGTTGGCGCTATATAAATCCTGTATAATAATAACATTCAAGATATTCCTCTTTCTATGCTCACCTACGATGTGGGGTTCCTTGTAGCCCATCACCGCTGCAAAGCCAATCTGAGCTGGCAGCCCTATCTTGCAAGCAACCCATTTTTTTTATTATTGCACAGGGACAAGGTGGGGGTTAAGGGCTTTCTTTTTCTAAAGGCAGTACCCAGTTTGCATTCCTGTCCATGCCTATGTTTGTTTCACAAGTGCAGGGATAGCCTTACAAGGAAAAATTGACATTTTAAATAAAAATTATAATTTGGAAATATATGAATTGTGTATTATGATTACATACACTAGCCACAAACAGAACACAACCTCCAGTCATAGCTGATGTCACAATCCAAATTTCCTCTCTAAATTGTTTTATTCCTGGAATGGAAAATTTGAGGAAGGTCTGGCAGCCTATGCTTGTAGGATAGTACGCTTATTCTTTTGTTGCTGCCTCCCTTATAATTTCCCCCATTTATTTGCTGTTGCCTGGCCTTCCCTCTGTGTAAGGGCAGGCAGCATTTGTTATTTTTGATGGGACATGGTGGGTATGGTGGAGGGTCAATCATGCTTTAGGCCTTCCTTTTTCTTATAAAGGTGGTACCTGGTTTGAATTGTTGTCCTTGCCCATGTACTGTAAAAGGAAGCAAAATTAAAGAAAACATTGTAAATAGAAATTAAAAAAAAAAAAAGAAATATATAACGATCCGGGCTGTCCATTCTCTTGCTTTTTTCATATATGAAATATGATATATGAAAAACAACCAACAGATTTCTCCCTTCATTGGTTTATGTGTTATCTTTTTATATTTATAGAAATAGGCTAAGTAGAATAAAACAATAATAATAAACCTTTTCTTTCACTAATATTCATAAAGAAAATCCAAAATTAATACATAAATAAATAAAACCAAATAATATCCAACAATAAAATAAAATAAATAAAATGTCCAAAATAGTGTCCAAAATAATGTCCAGAAAAATA